ACCAGTCACCATTAAATGTCTACTAGCGTCATACTAGGGCGCGATCCCCTATTTTTAGGGCAATTTAGGGCTAAAGCGAGGGGCGGATGTTGTGACTCACGGCTTTGCAAGAGCCTGCATTTTTTGGGGCGACGTGTTCATGCAAATTTCAAGGTATTGAAAAAGCACGCTACGGTTTACGTGACCATACATCAACAGGCTGAATCCAAATCACACAATTTTTCGTTTGTTTTTGTTTAACTGGTTTTCAAGCTCAGAATTGTTGAATTTTTTAAGCTTCTTAAGCATGGCGGAATTTTTTAACCGAATTTGCAAATCCGTGAGACATTTCTCGCTATGATTAGCATACAAGAAAATCCCAATCAGCTTCGTATAGCCTGGGAATAACTCACGCTCTCTCCACGGTTTTCGGGTTATAAATGAGCTCCACGACCGGGGCGGGTGGTACGTCTGTTGAGGCTGTCATCTCTAATTGCTAGCGCATTAAATGAGGCTTTTGCTACAAGAAAGCCATATGAAAATATGAGTAAAGATCAATAAGAAGCTGGTATTGCAAGAATCAGCCAAGGAATAAGCGGAAATTAGAGAGGAACCGGGATTAATCTATTTCTAGGAAGGTAGTTAGGAAACCTTATAGAAATGACTGGCCATCCGGGATGAGATGGCATAAGATATGCAGCAACAAAAAAGAGAGAGGGAGAGAGAGAGAGAGAGAGAGAGAGAGAGAGAGAGAGATAGAGATTACAGAGTAATTGGTGGTAGAATGTCGAGGAGCCTTGCGGAATCCGAGGAATTTTTTTGCGTAATCGGTACCTAGCAAAGGTCGCGTAGGAAATAAAGTACAAGAGGAACTTTGCGGAATCGGGTCATACCGTAAGCCTCGCAGAAAAATTTGCGGTAATGGGGACAACGCTAGTGGAAAACTGTGGCGTGCAGAGTCACCTTGCGGAATCAGATTTGTTTCATACTGTAATCGATTACTTGCAGAGGATTTAGGCAATATGACATTTTAGTTACCATAAGCATTAATTTGCATAGAAAATTTGCACAAATCCGTAGTAAAATAAAAAACCGTAGAACCAGTCGCAACGCTTCGCCTGTGAAATTGACCGGATTGGGGTGAGGTTATATAGGGGGTGACGACAGGCCAAAGGGGGAGGTTAGGCCCCCGGTCCCAAATGTTGATAACCCGCAGCTTGTGGGAGGGCAAGCACTTTTTAGGCCCAAGGCCTGTAATAGATCTACAGGGCCTGAACAGCTTATCTCGCTTTGCATTGCGGCACACACGGCTATAGGTAGGAGCGGGTCCCGCCCCCAATTCAGACCATTCTCACATCGGGTTCACGGGCTTTGTAGCGAGTAGACTTGGTGGGTCGTGGTGAAGGGAGAGCGAGAGAGAGGGAGACTATTCTGCGGATATCTTGGGTTAGTTGTGGCATGGAGTTTAGCGCTCCTTTAATAGAAATTAAATTCTAAACAAATTAAAAGCGAAGACTTCCAATATTTTCGGAACGGGACCAAGCTGAACGTAGGCAGAATTTTGCACTGGATCCAATTATGTTTTCACAACCTGCGAAACGATCTGGGTTTAGAAACTAGGAAGCTTTTCAGTGGGAAAACCCAAAAAATCTCAGAACTAGGCGAGTGCGAAACTTTTCACAATTATCAGCTCACAGGAAAACTGAGCTTAAAGATACTTGGTGACCAAAAATTTATAGAAAATATCGTATAGCGGTGTATCGACGGCGTTAGCGAGGTAGCCTAGCTATGGGGAACTACGGTAAACAAAACCATTAGGAAACCAATAAACCGAAAATTTTTTTCGCCATTCAAAACGTGTTGAACGGGCAACTGGTAATATTAAAAATATTACAACCCATATTATTATTTGCGAAAAACCGGAAGAACGAGAAAAATGCGGGGTGAAGCAGAGCATCAATTCAATGAGAGAAAATTGCGCGCGACCGCATGAATGTCCCAATTTATGATCACTGCCTCGTCTCTCTCTCTCTCGCTCTCTCTCTCTCTCTCTCTCTCGCTCTCTCTCTCGCTATACTTTATTCAAAATCAAGTAAAAAAGCGGTTTTGCCAGAGAATCAGACTCTGACTCACTTCTTTACAAAATTTTTATGATGGTTTTTGGCCGCAAGAAATTGGCCTATGAAATTCTCAGAATAGTACACACACGGAATGATTCAGCGGGTCAAACTTCAGTAAAGTTGATACGGTGTACCGTTACAACGCTGGAATAAAACATGCTTTGGTCAGTGCCTTGCAAAAGGTTTTTCACAAGCTTTTCCCCCATCAGCCCATCATTAGCATAAGGAAATTGGGATGCCTAATCAAATTTTATTAAATGGCGTAAAACAGTGTTAAAAATATAGTGAAGCAAAAATTTGCCGTTTCATTATTTATTAAAGCAAGCTGGAGCCGAAGCGTTTCCGTATTTTGCGAAACGTTCGAACTGGCAATTCGGGTTAGCAACAGGAAAGAGAAAGTGATACCTAAACCTCGGGAATCTATCAGCAATGTTTAATTATAAATTGCAAGAAAAACTACAGGCCGTCTAGATATTTAAATTCTCGGTTTAATCTATGCTTTGGTCTCTGTTTTCCACAAAACTCAGCCCATGCAGAATCTGGATTTTGCAAAAGTGGAAGGCAGTTCGGCCAAGCCAACCAGGCATGGCCCATCCAGTCCCCCGGCTACCCCTACAGACTCGAACCGGCGGCCTTTCATTGGCCTATGTATGTTACCTCCGGGATTCCGGGAAAACCGACCAAAGTTTGACGCAAACAATGCAGATAAGAGGTTTATATAAAACACGACCCGAGATCAAGAGGGATACGCGTCTTCCGATCATCTCACTTATCTGGGGGTAAGCTATCCCGCAGTTTATAAATAAGGTTACAACGGACATGTTGGCCGTGTAGATGTTTATATTCAGAAAACAGCATAAGCGAAAAAGTAACTTGCTAGAGGTATCTTAAAATTAACCATCACAGTGCCAAATATCTCGTCAATAGTTTATCAGATTCCCAAAAATAACTCATGTTTATGGCAAGAACGAGCACGTGAAGGAACCGAATTTTGAAATTTTTGTTTGTTTTCTACGCGATAGCGATCGCTAAGTTAACTTCACAGTTTTTCCCGCCAAAAAAGCGGTACGGCTGATTAATTGTGAATTGGTTGACCGTTGTGTAAAATCCAGTTTTTAAACCAGTAAATTTGCACTTGTTTAAAGCAGTTTAGGTCTTTTTGTTTTGATCGTTATGGATGTGCGTTAATTACGTAGTTAAACGTTTTTAAAACGAAAAAATCATCGGCTTAATCGTGAATTGTGTGTTCTTGTGTGTTGTTAAAGTGTCTATCCCAAAGAAACGCTTTAACAACACGCAAGGACACACACACGCTTTTAAGCTATGATATTGCCCAGTTCTTGAAAATTTTAGGTGAGGCGATAAGATTTTAATGTCGACTTTTTCAATACATTAATCAAGGACATTCACTTTAGAAAAATATATTATCGGCATGCTTTCAAGTGTTTATAAGTCATTTAATAGTAGTTTACCAAGTAGTATTTCAGCATTATATTAATACTCTCCGTGTATTGCTTAGGATATGTAATACATGTTTATCAAAAAAGAACTTACAATCCCGCTCCAAGCAATGGCTCCCGTTCGGTCATTTTTCGCACTTCGGGGTATTGATTTTCGAATTAAATGTAGTAATTTTTAGCGCAAATCTGGCATGAGCCTCGTTAGTGTGAAGCCGTAAATCGAGGGCAGACTTGATGCTCGACTTCAGCCGGGAGCGAACCCCGAGGTGGTGACCACTTGTTGGCCCTTATCACTGTCTCTATGCCCTCTCAATATTCAATGATATTTTCACGGATCGATCCCCTTAATAGAGCTGATAAGGGTCGGAGTCTTTGTTCTATCGAGTGGCACTTTAGAGTTGTGCTAGTGTTTGATGCACTTTCTACCCCAGGCTATATTGGTGGCTGTAGTACAGAGGAAAGTAGCGGAATTAGGATTTTAGTGGAATTTCAGAAAGTTCCGATTCTGACTTAAAACTGACATTTTAGTGGACTGTATACACCTCTCACCGATCCCTACTGCTACTTTGGCACATAGTACATTTACGGAATTAGCACCGCAGCGGAATTTAATGTCGTTATCCAACTTTCGTTCTTCACTTTTAAAATATTTCCAGTAGACTGCCTACACCTTCTGTGCAACCCTATCGCCCACTGTAGCGTACCGTACGGTAGCAGTACAGTACAGTACGGTAGCGGAATCAGGAGCCTCACGGAAAATCCCATCATTCCGCATATGACCCAAAAAAGGTTTTTTGCGCGGGCCCATAAATATAGAAGCTGTCTTCAATTGAGTAGTAATTGACCGTAACATTTTTAGCTTTTCTAGATACTATCGGTTTTATTATGACGCGGAGTGGGGCGTAGCGGCATAGAATAATGCACATTAAACGGTAATAAATACAGCAAGAGGCACTGGTGCAACGAAACAACGGAAATCTGCATAATGCCGAATTAGTGGGCCGTCACATAAATTAGAAATTCAGGAAAAATAATAGAGATCAGCGTGAAACCAAAACAACGCAAATTTACAATGATTTTCGGCCAGTTTTGTATTATGAAGATACAGTAACTTTTTTCCCCAGAAATGGCATTTATCCGAACTAATTGATGGGCTTAATTGACCCCAACCTACATACGGTAAGGCCCAAGAATTCAGACCCCGAAAAATTTCGGAAGGAGCAAGAATTGAGGCCCCGGAAGGCCCGTGGGAATGTGCCAAAATTCGCGGGTTTTTCTGCAGTGGGCCGCCCACGGTCTCTCCCTATTCTTATCGCAGATGGACTGCCCGGTGGCTCTGGCTGGCCAACGAATACGGGGAAAACGGTTTAAAATAGGGGAAGAAGCGAATCGAGACAGATGACGGGCGGTTGAGGCTCTTCGGCAGGGTCAAGAGAAGTTATCGGCGCACTGGGGTGAGGCGCTGGAAAAAAGTGGAATTAAAGGGGCGGTAAAAGTAGGAAGGTATTTTTTTTTTGTTGGATGGATTACGAAGCCGTAAGACCTCGAGAAGCGTGTGCGTTGCGTGCCGCGGGCAAGAATTATCTGTTGCTTTCTTTGTCTCGCTCTCTCTCTCTCCCTCACTCTCTCGCTGTCTTTCGTTATCTCTCCCTCTCTCTATCTCTCGCTTCCTCTATCTATCTCTCCCTCTCTCTCTCTTGCTTACCCTCGGCGCTTTCTGCACCTCGCCAACAGCGTTTGTCTTCACCGAAGCGCCTCCGTGATGAGCTCCTTAAATATGCTTTTCTCAAAACCAGAGCATTTTGCCATACCGTGACTAGCGTTCGACGGAGCATCAGCTTGGTGACTAGTGGCTGACGATGTTCTGCACTGATTGCAGAGATGAGCAAAAAGTAGGGCCCGGATCTGCGGATCGCAGATGGCGAGCAGCAAGGGGCGGAGGCAGGAGCTCAGGGTTAGGGTGATCACACTAAATTGAGACTGAGGTTCAGGAAATACTGTGGACGGTATGATAGCACAGGTTTTTCGCAACATTTTTCGCAGAACAAAGCACCGAGAATTTAGGGGTGAGACATTTTATTAAGGGAACTAGGAAGTGGCAGTTTCGACCTCTTCAGGCGACTAGGTCTCGACATCAAAAGCATGGGTGCAAGCGTAGATTATTTTGGCTCAAACATCAGTTCATGGAGCTAACCAAAGACGGTTTGGATGCATCACTTGGTGCGACGCGTAGCCGTCGTGACCTAGCCATCGAATGGCAGCAGTTTCGACAATCTAGTCCTTTAGGATGCGTATCCCTAGCTTCAAGACTTCCTAGGATACTTACCTGGCAATAAACAAGCTATTGTCCAATCGAAAATCGAACACTCGATGCAATCGAAAGGCAATAACACTCCGCACAGATTCACATAGTAGTGGCACGTAGTCGATGATCACGATGGTGGTGGCAATGGCGTGGGCGTGTTTTTCCTAAATTTAATCAAGTGATACTTCTCATTCTTTTAAATTTTGTGAATTTTACGTTAATTCCCCCCTCTCGTCACATTCAAGCCGTCCAATCCGCCCCCATTTTCCATACTTTGGTCTTTTCCAGGGGTTTGGAAAATGACGAGTGGTTGATAGCGGCTTATCAGGGTGGGAAGCCGCGGTGGTTTTTCACAGAATGAGGGGATAATTTATAGCCGAAACTGACAATGAGTAATCCAGATTTTCATTAAATTTTTTTTGCAAAATTGACGTTAAAAACGAGAGCTATCATTAACCGTTGTTATGCGACAATTGAAGGAGCACTTACTGCCCTATCCGCACGTAAACAACCATTTGTTTTTAGGGCTGCAGGCCTTGCAAAACGAGGGGCCTGATGGAATTAACCTAACCTCCTTGCTGCCACTCTTTATCGCTCCAATCATTGTCAATACAAACGAGATGACGGCAGCGATGGTCAGGGCAAACAGGGCTCCTTCCAGGATGAACTCGAGTACGCAGTCGATCTGAAAAGTCGGATGAAAGGTCGACCCTAATTTTTTCATAGGTATCGACTAGGTAAACAGTCAAAGGTTCAGACGGGAGGCGGCAAAAGCAAAGCGCTGCCTATTGAATTTTGCAGGTTAAATGATCTTGCTGAATGACGCCAGACTTTAAGGGGGTTAGGCAGCGCAAGGATTGATCTTTCCCGGGGGCGTAGGTCTTGGTAGGTTGACAAGGTCATTTTTTAGCGTTTCTAACGACTATAGGTCCCTGCTTTTAGGGAGTATTTTTCTAAGCAAAATATTGTAAAACCAAAAAGTTATAGCTTAAAAACTTATTTTTGGAGAACTCTGGTAATCGTTTTTGGCTATGTTTTCGCAATTAGAATGCGGATTTTGAGTAATTCTCCGAAAAACTGTCATTTCTCGGTCAGTTTCTGGCAATCCTACCTTATATAATTTGGTCGCGTTTCTTTGTGTGTGTGTGTGTGTGTGGATGTCACTTTCGACGCCCGATTTGAGGGACTTCCCGTGTCCAAAATGCCTTAATTCTCCGTCACCCGGGGGAATCGACCCTCCTCTTTCCGATGGCGCTTTCAGAATCCAGATAAAATACAAGTTTACAAAGTTAAAGCCGGTTTTATTGATTTTTGGGGGTCCGGGAGGGCTAATTTGCATAATGTGAAAAAATACAAATTTCCTCATTCTTGCCAGTTGCACTCGCGAGTTTGGTCGTCTCTTTGGATCCGCCTCTCGATGCGTTTCCTCCCCTGCCCCGGGCAGTCCTCTTGAGGCATAAAACGGGTGTTTGACGCGTGCTGCCAAGCATTGCATGGCGTAGTGGTAAGCGCTTCGCCGTGCTAATCCAACCATCGGAGGTTCGATCCTCGGATATCGTAGTTGTTTTGCTTTTTGCTCGGAAAGTGCGTTTCGGAGTAGATTTCCGTGTAGGGAGGTTATTATGAAGTTAGTCACTCAAGCCGCAGCCTATAGAATGAAGCTACCCACTCAAGCATGCGCCGCAGGACAAGGAATCAACCTACTGCTCAAGCTAGCGCCGCAGACTTTGGAACGACGCTAGCCGCTGAAACTAGCGCCGCAGGCTAAAGGTTCAGGCCGGCCCCTGAAACTAGCGTCGCAAGCTTCGGAAGGAAGTTAGCCGGGAAAGCTAGCGCCGCAGGCCCAAGGTCAGAGCTAGCCCTTCAAAATTGTGCCGCGGGATAGGGAGGCTCAAGCTTGCGCCGCAGGCTTTACAACGAAGCGAGCCGCACAAGCTGGCGCCGCAGGCTTTGAAACGAAGCGAGCCGCACAAGCTAGCGCCGCAGGCTTAAGAACGACGCTAGCCGCTCAAGCTAGCGCCGCAGGCTTTAGAACGAAGCTAGCCGCTCAAGCTAGCGCCGCAGGCTTTAGAACAAAGCTAGCCGCTCAAGCTTGCGCCGCAGGCTTTAGAACGAAGCTAGCCGCTCAAGCTAGCGCCGCAGGCTTTAGAACAAAGCTAGCCGCTCAAGCTTGCGCCGCAGGCTTTAGAACGAAGCTAGCCGCTCAAGCTAGCGCCGCAGGCTTTAGAACAAAGCTAGCCGCTCAAGCTTGCGCCGCAGGCTTTATAACGAAGCTAGCCGCTCAAGCTAGCGCCGCAGGCTTTAGAACAAAGCTAGCCGCTCAAGCTTGCGCCGCAGGCTTTAGAACGAAGCTAGCCGCTCAAGCTTGCGCCGCAGGCTTTAGAACGAAGCTAGCCGCTCAAGCTAGCGCCGCAGGCTTTAGAACAAAGCTAGCCCCTCAAGCTTGCGCCGCAGGCTTTAGAACGAAGCTAGCCGCTCAAGCTAGCGCCGCAGGCGTTGGAACAAAGCTAGCCGCTCAAGCTTGCGCCGCAGGCTTTAGAACAAAGCTAGCCGCTCAAGCTAGCGCCGTAGGCTTTAGAACAAAGCTAGCCGCTCAAGCTTGCGCCGCAGGCTTTAGAACGAAGCTAGCCGCTCAAGCTAGCGCCGTAGGCTTTAGAACAAAGCTAGCCGCTCAAGCTTGCGCGGCAGGCTTTAGAACGAAGCTAGCCGCTCAAGCTAGCGCCGCAGGCTAAAGAAGGGGGTTACCGCTCAAGCTTGCGACAGGCTTTATCTCGAAACACACCGCTCGAGCCGGCGCCGCTGCGCCGCAGGCCTAATAACGACACTAGCAATTTCAGCTTGCGCCGCATGCCAATACAAAGAGGTTTGCATGGGAGATGTGTTTTTCTTTCTTCAGGGTAACTTTATGTGTAAGGGCGCTCGATTCATAGGGCCTAGACGGGGTCCAGCGGGGGAGAGTCGCGAAGCGGCTCCTCCCCCGCTGGTTATGATAATAAAAAGTGTTCGAAAGGCCCAATTTAAACGTAATTTTCGTAAATCAAAAAACTTCTACAGGTAGAAAAGAGTGCCCCTTCATTTTTGCTAAACATTTCGAGGCCGAATTCCGTTAAAATCCTAATGAAATCTGCAAAATAAACCTTAATTTTTATATATCTTTTTTGTTTTACAATATTTTGCTTAGAAAATGCACATAGTTTTTATGGGTCCGCATCATTGGTAAAAATTTGGTCCCGATTGGATGGAAGACGGCCAAACGCCGGGGGGGTTTTGGGACACCCTGTAGATCTCGAAAGCTGGCGGTCGTTCCAAAACATCTCGATGCTAATCATGAACTGCACTATCGCAAATTCATACTAATTTAACATCAGAAATGTAACAAAAATCTGTCCCAAAATATGTCAAGTTCCTACCGTAGTATCGCATTCTGTAAAATCCACTCTCGACGTCCACTCGTCTCTATCTCGAAAGATGATGGCGACAAGAAACGTGGGAATGACAAAGATGAGGGCTAGGATTAGCCCACGTCGAAACAGAGTCCAGCCAACTTCCTAAAATTCGGTTCGTCGCAGATTAACTGTGTTATGTGGCATCGGAAACCCCTAACTTCCAGCCAGGCCCGTAAGAGGGGGCGAGGGGGGCGAGCCGCCCCCCCCGAAATCGGCTGAAGGCCGAAAAGTTCATAAGGGGGGACCCTTATGATTTAATTTTTCCAAAAATTTTTTTGCCTGCGGCGCTGTTTTTGTCTATTTTTAACACTAGTTTTAGTGTTATAAACCCTATGTTTTCAAAAATTTTGCCTGCGGCGCTGTAGTTTTAGTCATATTAGTGAAAAATTTTTGGGGTCGCCCCCCCCCGAAATTTGGGTTTGTTACGGCCCTGCTTCCAGCCCAGAGAACTTTTAGTCAAAGTTCCTTCTACATCCTTATCCAGTAGATGCTTTAGGTCCCCACAAGGTTCTACGCTTTCTTACCGGCGCATGGGCGATCGTAACCCTCTCAATTGTGGTAAGGATTGCTGCAGTAAAGAGGAGCATCCGTACTGGTTGGGCGATTGCCGTGAGAAAGTCACTCTGCTCGAATGTGATGGCGTAGTAGCCGATTTGTGAAGGAAGGATTAGGACGAAGAAGACGAGCGCCCAGAGGAGTTCCATGATTGTCTGAAAATGGATAATATACCCCGATCTAGTATTACCAGGATATATTAAGGCCTTTGACAGGTCAGCAAAAATTTTTTAAACGTGTAATGAATCTTGTTTTCAGCTAGGGCATGCTCTTCTTTTGGATTAACTCACCTGCACCACCGAGATCTTGTAAAAATTGCCTCGTAACGAGTCATTCTTCGCGATCACGGTGATAATAGCAATATTTAGAACACAGCAAATTGCTGATCCGCCGGCCAGATACGGAAATATTGCCTGCACGGCCAAATGGTCAGCGTCCATCCTCGGATCCATCACTTGCTAGATCGATAGAACTTTTCAAGCTCTGGGAGCTTCAAAAGGAGGCAGGTCAGACCTTGAAAAGGAGGATTCGAGGGTACGGCAGTTCAAAGCTAATAATTCCTGAGAAGCAGGGCGAGAAAATGTAGTCGAACGGGCCGTTGTGAGGTGAAAAAGAATCGTGGTGGGATTGAGCTTCGAAATAGTGGATTCACTTGGCTGGGCCGGTGTGTTTTGATTTCTGATGAGAGAGAGAGAGAGAGAGATAGAGAGAGAGAGAGAGAGAGAGAGAGAGAGAGAGAGAGAGAGAGGGAAAGAGAGAGGGGGGAGAGCAGCGGGGTAAAGTCAATCGAAACAGGACAGACGGAAGGGGAAATTCATTGGCTTTCGCGTTTTTAGCAAGCTAGCAGATATCACTCAAGAATCGCTAAGTCGCATCCCTTTCTGGTGACGCATTTGAAATATTTGATTATTTGGCAGTAAACTGCAGAAGACTACGAGCCTGAAATGTCCGACTCCCTGCCAAATCCTGCGTCCAATTAATCGGCGAAAAACTATAATCAAATGTACCAAACGTCAGATCGTAAAGCATACATGACTTCCCATTACATGACAACCTTCCCCCATTTCAAACCCGTCTAAAGCCTCGTAAATCAGTAATAATCGCTTGGGGACCCGGCAGGTAGCAAACGGCCCCTGGTGAAATGGGTTATTCTCAGGCAATTAGTAGCCGTGCCACACAGCTCGGCTCGGCAGTGCTGCGGCCGTCAAATTATATTTTACCGTGGAGACCGGAAGGGGCGGGGGGGGGGGTGCTACGAAAAACGGTGAGGTTCGTGAGATCTCACCGCTTTTTAGGGGCGCAAAATAGTGAATTTCCCAGCTTGCGAACCGCGTGGGAAGGTCAAACGTCAGAAAAATTGTAGTAGCTTGAAGTTTCCCAAGGTGTTTTTTGTAGTTTTCTTGATTAAAGGTACGACACAACGCGTAAAATCAATCTAATTTTTAGTGGCGCAAAATAGGAATCGTAGAGTCACTTTTTACGTAAAAATCGTGGCTTCGAGTTTCCAATCAGTTTTTTTAGGATTTTTAATGACTTAGTTTGCAAGATTGATCTCGTCAGAGAAATCTGAATATTTCAAAGCACACAATAGGAATCGTAGGGCTAGTTTTGCGTCAGAATTTGTAATTTGTAGTCTTTTAGACTGTTTTTAACGTGTTTAATGACTAATTTTTTAAGAAAAACGAAACCGTGCCCTTTTACGGGTACGTAATTTGCTTTATGGTGTTTTAGCCCTTGGTCCGTTCCGCTTTCCGATCGAATTTACGCCGAAAATTAGATAGATGAGTTAGCGTACCAGAAATGACATTAATGCATCATAACACGCGCAGCTTTTATGTTTTCTGCGAAGGGACCTGATTTAGAAAAGATCTATGAAAAATTCTAGACAGTTAGGTTTTATAAAAGTTATTTTCGCTGTTTTAGTGGAAATTATAATTTTTTTTTCTTGCTTCAACAGCTCTATCTTCGCTAGAAACTTTTGTAAGTATAACTTGCAGTCACAAGCTAGTAATCTTCACTTTAGGAATATCCTAAAGTGATAAATATGCTCTGAAAACTTTTAAATTAATCCGTACTGCGCAGGCAAACCAAAATTCCTCGTAAATATAATTCCCCAGGCTTAATTTTCACCTGTCAACGCCGTCGCGCCGAAACCTGAGCCCAACCGGGCGAAAATAAAATAACAACCTCCAAAAATAAACTTGGTCCTCGACAAAATTGCAAAAATGGAGCTCAGTAGGTTGTGGTATCAACAGCACGTTCAGTAACACGGACCAACCTTAGACACATCACCGCGATCAGAGAGAGGAGGGCGGGGTCTCTTTTATACCCCCTTCTCCCCCGGTGGGCCAGGTGGCGCGCGTTTCGGGGAAGCTGGGAGAGCGGCAGGATAGGAGTGGTTTTTGGGCTTGCTTGATCGAACTTCGCATGCCGCTCGTAAAATTACAAACAAAAAAGCATCATTTCGATCCATAATTTTATGTGGCGTCAGATGAGGCCTATCTAGAGACAAAATCGATTGTTTGGACCATGACTCGTGGATTTCTCGGTTCAAAAGAGAAGCCAGAAAATTATGATTTTTGTTATCTAAAGTCATTACCATTTATTTAACCTAAAAACAGTAGAAACAGTAAAAAGTACTAATATTTATCACCTGAAACCGAAATATCACACCCGTAAATGTATAAATCGTACATAGGATAGGGAAGGAACCGGAATATGTGTTTGTATGTGAAGAAAAAGCCTACAGGGTAGAAAATAATAACTAGAACAATTGTTGCCATAGAAAACACGATATTTTGGAGGGGGCATAAAAAGAAAATGTCTCGCAAAATTGAAAATAATAAAACTGCTGAAAAATACGGTAAAATCAGCACAATTTGCGGAAATTTACTGGGAAAAATTGATTTTCAAAATTATAGTAAGATGAGCAGGGCTGGAGCAAGAGAAAATTGCTTTCAAAAATAATGGAAAACTACCAGCTTTGGCGGGAATGATCCCCTCGGCTTAAAGGTCTTGGGGGAGATTTCTCCCCGCTTTACATAAATCCGATATTTTGTGTGTGTGTGTCTATTGTTCGGAGGGCATGTCGTCCCTTTGGAGACCGACAGAATGTGTACGTAATCGTGGTGGGACCGGCCGAAAGAGGACTAATGACGAGGCTGTGCGGCTGCGGTGACGGCCCCGTTCACACATCTCAATGTCCTAAATGGCACCGTGACGCTTAGATGAGGTACGCTTGGGGTTTGATTTTTGAACTTTACGTGCCTTGCTTTAAAATACTTTGTTACCTTTAAGCTGGTATGTTCTTTGGGCTAATTATTGATTTTAATCTGCTAATCATCGAAGGAAATTTCACCTTTTGTTTTTTTAACAGGTTGGATGGTCTCTTTTTAATCTTTTTTCATTTTCATGAATATCAAATCAATAAAAAAGCGTAGCCCACAATGTACATGAACAGTTAAATTCGGTTTAATGAATTTTTCGGCTTTTTTTTAGTTTTTATAAAGGTTTTAACGTACAAAATACCAACCATTCCCGACTCCACATCTGTCTCATTTCCACCTTCACTTGATGAGGACCCATTTCGAGATAATCTCCTGATTTCTGGCATCTCCTCGTCAATCGGTACGCTTAGGTGACGCTCTGTTACGTTATGCTCCGCTACACTACAGACCTCTTGTCCCTCATCGGATGACTCGGAAGCTCCGGATTTTCTCGCTAGCCTTCGATTTTCTGGCACTTCTTCGTCGCGTATTGAAAAAGTTGCAGTGTGTTCCGCTGCGTCACGCTCCTCTTCACCTTGATCTGTCGATCCGGAATTCTCGAGTTGGCGCGGTGGTCTTCGATGATGTTCTGTGGCTTCTTTATCGTGAATGCCGATAATGAATGCGGCCGCACGCTCCGCTCCGTAACTCTCCTTTTCTCCCTCACCCGAAGGCCCGGCAATCGAAGCCAATACCGGTTCCGGGATCCGTTTTTCAACATTCACATATCCACCCGACGGGCCTTGAACCTCAGATATCGCCTCAAAGGCTGCTGCTCGGTTGTGCCAATCTGAAGTCAAATCCAACTTGTCTCTTGCGTAGGCTCGTTGCAGAAATTCTTCAGGATCCTCGACTTCAAGCGGGTGTTTTCGGGTAAAAGATGGACTTGGGCTGCAGGTGGCAGAAGTGGGTGTGGAATGCTTTTTCTTGGCACGTTCGTAGTCGTTTTCGGTGATTGGCGGGAGTTGAAGCATCGTGTCGCAATCGATTGTTAGGTCTCTGAAAATTGAAAGTTAAGCTGAGAGAGAGAGGGGGAGAGAGAGAGGGGGAGAGACAGGGATAGACGGAAAGAGCTAGAGTGAGAGAGGGGAGAGGTAGAGAGAGAAAGAGAGAGAGAGAGAGAGAGAGAGAGAGAGAGAGAGAGAGAGAGATAGTCAAAGATAAATGGCAAGGGTTAGGGTGAGAGAGAGCGATAACTGGAGATGGAAAGAGCGAAAATGAGATAGAGCGAGCGAGAGTCAGAGAGTGAGAGAGAGTGAGAGAGAGAGAGAGAGAGAGCGCGAGCGAGAGATACAGACAGAGAGAACGGTTGATAGAGCTGAAGCGAGGGCAAAACTGTCAAGTTTTCCGCTTACCTCATCTCATTCAAAAGCTTCCGATTCACAGTAACCGTCTCCCCATCAGCGCCTCTTTTGATGCTATCGTGAATGGCCATCCCTAGCATCTTCTTCCGTGCCCAAATCTCGGCCACTTCCCGATACTCCTCGGCCGATAGCGCGATTTTCTGAACCTTATCGATTGCTAAGGTTTTCTTTGATTTTCTAACCTCTGTGTCTGTATTTTCAGCAGTTTCGTCAACTTCCAACAATTCTATAGGTTTTGCCAGGTATTCAAGTGGGACGGGGCATTCGTCATCGAGGTATGTCAATTGCTGGGTGCCCATCGGTTGACCACGCGCCGCTGAGCCGAGATCGAGGTATCCTGAAGGTCATGGTGTCTCGAAGATGGGTTATCCGTGTAACAGTAATAAAAAATAGTCGGTTTTTGGGTCGTCTAACACTTTTAGAAGCAAAGATACCACTGCCTGCCTGCCTGTCAAAACTACTTACCGTACTGCTCGTCGCCCATGTTCAGCAACACAGCCAACCTCAGCCTCAAGTCGTCAAAAGTCGGTCTCAAATCGGCCTTGAACTCCCAACACTGCTTCATCAGGGCGTAGCTGAAAAATCATTGTACTGAAGTATTCCGATGATGGGACCGAAAAACGAAAACTATCGTACCACTCGTTAGGACACTTTATAGGCTGCTTGGGGCGATGGCCCTCCTCGAGGTGTTCGATCATTTCCATGGGTTGGACGGAGGGGAATGGGGCTTCACCGAGTGAAAACATCTCCCAGAGCGCGATACCGTAGGACCAACTAAAATATTTGATTTAAGAGAGAGAGAGAGAGAGAGAGAGAGAGAGAGAGGGAGAAAGAAAGAAACTGAAGGAGAGACTCACATTTCCGTCTTCTCGGTATACTCGTAGAACTTGAGCGATTCCGGCGACATCCACTTTATCGGCAGCTTCCCACCCTTAGCAGTGTAAAGAGCAGAATCGGCATAACGACACAACCCGAAATCGGATATCTAAAGTTTTGTATAGCTTTTAGGGCATTTTCCCACCTTGGCGCACATATTCTTGGTCAGCAAAATATTCCTAGCGGCCACGTCACGATGAATAAATTTGTGGGAGACGAGGTAGAACTAAAAGCGGCGGTAAAATCTTTAATTTTGTAGATAACCAGCAACAACAAGAGGTTCGGTTAAAAACGGCGATTTTTTTGAGTACTTACCAAGCCATCAGCTACTTGCCAAGCAATAGAAACTAGCTCTTTAATGGTAAGGATGTGCTCGTAGTCGCTGGATGTGGAATGCTCGTCCTAAAAATAAAATTAAAGGAATAGACCAGTAATAAAACGATACCTTTAGAATACTGCCTTTGTTCTTACGGATGAATCGTAGGAGATCACCGTGTTTGCAGAATTCAACGACGATCAAGGGTTCTTAAAAGGCAGTATTTGGAGGTAGATCGTAGAAAGCGAGAGAGAGAGAGAGAGAGACCGAGAGGGTAGCTTACTTACCGATCGGGTTTGACACACAGCCAAGCATCGAAATAACATGCGGATGATAGCCGAGCTTTTTCATAAACGCCATCTCGTGGAAAAAGTCCATTCGACCCTCATGGTTTGCGTGAGCCGGTAACTTTTTGACAGCAACCTAAACTTTATCTTCTCGATTTAACTAGCCCATTTGTGCCCTTAAAAATATCCATATTGCTAGAAATAAGTGCGCAGCATTTTGAAACTAACTTGAAAACCTTTGACAGGTATTTGCAAAGATCCTTACCTCACTGTGATCCGCATTTGAACCCTCGAGCACTAATTTTAACGAATTGTAAACTTTGAAGAGCGGGATGGTACCCTGAAAATTGGTTCGAACATCCTTATTTTTGTGTGCTTACTTTTAGTGTGCCTCGATATACCGATGCAAAAGCTCCATTGCCCAGGCAGTCGTCATGCACCAACAGGTTTTTCGTCTGGATCTCCCAGCGGTCTTTTCTAAAAAAAGGGATATGCTTTTGGGGGTACAGAAAACCGTACTTTTGAAGCCAGATAGCGGTTTTTAAAGGCGCTCAAAATGTGTAAAAATCGATAAATCGATCAAAAGCTCTTTTTGGGCATGAATGCTTTATGCCGTTCAAACTTTAGAACTCACTTAAACTGCTCGGCCAACGACTTGATGTCCATGTAAGTGTTCATTTGAGCCACCGTCATTTCTAGTTTCCTAAAAACACCGAATTGTCCCATCCGAAGCACTTGACATACACGTTCGGGTCAGTTGCATCTCCTTGACTAGGTGCTGCGGTTCGGGCATCACCATAGACCCGCCACCATTTATTTCCGGAATTTCGGGTCCTCTTGATCCCGACTACTACACAGCCGATGCAAATGACGGTGATGGCCAGGGTGGGGATCACGATGATGATGATCAAGCCTAAAAATTATGAGTTTTGCTAGGTCGAGATTTTTAAAATTTTGGATTTTGGCTTTTATCTCTATGGGCTACTTAATGAGAGAAAGAACGAGAGAGTGAGAGAGACAGAAAGAGAGAGAGAGAAATCGGTGAAAATACGTTGTTTACTTGAGATAATTTGCCCGGAAATCTATTTTTCGACGTTTCATCGTATGCTGCTGTCGCTGCTATATTGCTATATTTAGGGAAAAACTTTAATTAAAAAATTCAAAACAAGACTGAACCCACGCACTGCTCCGCCATCATCATCCGCCGCAGCAGCCTGCCCAATCAAAAAGGCCGTTAGAAAGTGGAAGTATAACAGAAAATTAGCGCTCCTCGGCATGGCCACAGATCGTTTTTCAATAGTATCGTTCGTAGTGTTGCCGCGAGAGTGACGAATGGCCCCTCAAGGCAATTTGATGAGCTGAGAGAGAGCAATACCCTCGGAGAAAATATTCAAGCCTTATCGGGTCAGCGGAAAAGCTGAGGGTCGCTGTGTATAAACGACTTTCCCTCTCTCACTCTCTCTCTCACCCTCTCTCACTCTCTCTCTCTCTCTCTCTCTCTCTCTCTCTGTCCCCTCAACGATCAATTTGGCTTATTCTGGCCCGGATGGACGGAAGGGGGCAGGCGGGAAGGTGGGCAAGCCAATAAGCTGCTTTAGTGGCTTGGCAGGTGAGGTGGCGGAGAGATGGATTGGGAAATCGGACGCTGATTTCTCATCGTGCCGTCTGTTTTCTGAACCTTGTGTTTGTGGTGGTGGCCTTTTTCCGGTGGTGTTACTGACCGGAAATTGTGTTTTTTTTTCAAACATTTTTGCAACGTTGCTTATCGGCTTGGGTATACACCCCCGCTTAATGCCGCAACCTTCTAAGGAGCCGGGAAAAATTATTGAATTTCTGATACTTAGAATATTTTATTAGGTTCCCTAAACCTTGTTCGAAGATAAACTTAAAAATCTAAGATCTTAAAAGCTGCAAAGAGAGAAAACTCAATAATTTCAAACAATCTACCTTTCGCTCAAGCTCCATCTCAGTCCCATTTAGCCTCTCTCTCTCGTTCTCACTCTCTGACGCCCACTACACGCTCGGTCCCCCCCCCCCTCTGGTGCTCACTCTCGTTAACGCTTTTACTCTCACTCTCGTGCTTTCTCTCTCACTCTCTCTCTCTCTATCTCTCTCTATCGTTCTCTCTCGCTCTCTCTCGCTCGCTCGCTCTCTTTCTCGCTTTCTCTATCTCTATCTCGCTCTCTCTCTCTCTCTCTCTCTCTCTCTCTCTCTCTCTCTCTGTCTTTTCTCTCGTCCAGAACTGAATGCTTTATTCGCATGAAACAGGCATGAATACGGAACGACATTCCTTAAAGCTAAATCACAAAACCGCATAGACACAAAAAATAATCACCAAAAAAACACAGAACCCGAATTTGTTAATCACAAAAGAAGACAAAAATTAATGCAGTTCAGCGGACGATTAATAAGATTGGTTCTAGCAGTCGAACTGCTCGGCGTCGTGCTCGGACTCTTCGTCGAAAAGATCATCGAGGAAGTCATCGTATCCTTCCTCATCCTCCTCAACTTCAGCAAGTTCGGCGAGCAGCATATCATCGGTCTCGTTCAGTTCCTGGCGAATCGTCTCGTACGGTGGTTGGCGGGTGGGGATGAGGCAGAGTTTCTAAAAGGTCAAAATGATGAGATCGGGAATACGTTAATTTACCCCTTACCCTTTGCTAGGTATATACGACAGGTATCTTTCGAGTTCCCCCCACCCCGTTAATAGCCTAGAACCGAACATTGGGGCTAGCGGCGTAAGTAGCAACAAACGTACCGTCACATCATACAAGACATTCGGCTTCCACTGGAGACCATCAATCGACAGTTCAATGGGGGTGACCATACGATAGAGGTCGCCGACCAGGGTCTCGACGCGCAACGGCGTCCACTCCGGAGACCAGTAGGTCGTGGTCGTCTGGTCGCCGGTGACTTTTCTGGAAAAGTGACGATTCCGCCGAAATTGTAAAAGTTGGGTTTTCAAGTATCTTGAAGGGGGTAAAAGGAAAAGAGATTTGTTGGTGAACACGTTGCTGTCGCGCTGCGGAACTTAAGCTGATAGACGCATATAGCGTGCGCGTTGCGTGTTGTTAAATAGCGCGCGTTCAGGCCCTAAACGCGAGGAAAGAAAATTCATTACGCTGCTGGTGATGATCAAAAATGATCAAGACGTCCTGTATCCCATCTTGGGCACGCGACGCCGGTACGTTGTGTGTCTCGGAAACCCGCGGTAAATCCCTTGCCCCACCGTGACTCCCTATCGAGCCGGCCGACATTCTCGTAGACGTTCAGCTCCGTGTAGTTGCCCACGATTTGCAGGCAGCCGTCGTCGACCAGGTCAATCTCGAAGGGCAACTCCACGCTACGCGTCTGCTCGGTCCAGTTGAGTGAGAACTTCGTCTGAAAATGTTTGATTTTGGGGTAAGTAAAGCCGCTGAACGTCTTGAACAAGTGCGAAACGGCCAATAGCAAAAAATTTTGGTTCCCAGTCGCTTTATTGTTTTGTTAAATACCACGCACCACGACGACGGCATGTATGTGGAAGTCGACAGCCGGCGTTGGATCGGGCGCGTCAAACCGCTATGAACATCTACACTCAAGAGAAAATAGGAGGTGTACCTCTGTAGTCAGCCTCCCGTTCTCGCACATGATAAGCCGGTGCATGCCCATCGGTAGGATGTTCGCCTTCAGCCCCGAGTAGAGGAGGTTCAGCTGGCGACGAGGCTGAACTTATGATCTGAGAGTCGGAGACAAAGAGAGCGTGAGGCAGAGAGAGAGAGAGCGAGAGAGAGATAGAGAGAGAGAAGAGATCACCTGGCTCCGCAAATGCAATTGCCGTAGATGAACATCGTAGTAAGGGTGGCGCTCGTCGCCCATCCTCTGGAACGTCACCGAGCCGTCCACCTCGAGATCGGCCAGCTCTTCGGTGGCCGGTTCTACAGAACATTTTCAAGGTAAAACCCTCTCGACTACCACTCCACATCGTGATTACCGCCGGCTGGTGGCTCAAAGTGATCAGGTAGTCCATAGCAAAATATCGCCCGTCGGCCGCCTCGAAAATGACCTAGACAGCGAGTTCAAGCTGTAATTCGTCATCTACCTCATCACCATTTTTCAGCGGTGCCGGGAGGATGGAAGTTGATACCTAAGATCGTCCTAAAGCTGTGAAAACTGGGTACTTGTAGCCATTTCGAGAAGAGTGTCGTATGAACGGCCTGATCACGTTGAATGACTAGCTTCAGGCGGGCCGTTGTGGAGTTGTTGTCGTAGTACGGTATGTCGAAGCGCCGCTGACTCTAGAAGATAATCGAGTTTCAAATTCGAAGCTTTGTTCCATACGCTGCGCACTTTGAACAGCTTCTGCTTGTCCTCCCCATCCCATCCGATGCTCATCACCACGTCCGTCCACTGGTTGCCCTCGAACATCACCCAGATCGTGTTGTTGCGAGGCCTGAAAAACAAATTTAGTATTCTGATCCGGATTTCAGCGCCGGTTCCTAGCTCTTGGCTGCTAGTTTCTCTGGTACTGGGCTGTTAGCAGGGGGGCGGGGGGTCCCGTAATCCTGTACGGGCCCCTAACAAATATCTCAACCATTTTTATCGCAATTACGCAGTTTGTAGATCAAAAACTCTTGGTAAAAAATGTCGAAGTTTTTGAAAGTTCGACTTTTTTGGTCTAAAATACATGAAAATGGCCAAAAAGGTGAGAATCTTCGAATTTTTCAAAGGCGCTTAATAAATTTTTTATGAGTTCTAGCAATCAAACCTCCTAAAAACGTTGTAAAAATAAACTATTGATTATTGTTAAAATTATTGTTGGCCGCTAGGTGTAGACGGAAAAGCGAAAATCAGTCTTCCCCTGCTGAAAGTCCCCCCCCGCAAACAGTCCAGTACCGAATATCGATCACGTTTTCTCTGCTAGGTACCCCTTTTTTCTAATGAGTCTCTGCGAGCCTGCCCTTTCCCTAGCAATCTCTGCTAGCCTGCCCTCATTTCCTAAGCACGAAAACACCATAAAAAAGCGCGCATCGCAGCAAAAACCGGGTTACCACACAAAATGGGTCCTAATGTTTTCTATCAGATACCCCGGAGCTACTCCCAAAATCCCACTTTTTCTTCGTGCTCCTGACGACGGTCTTGGGCGCGACGATGAAGACGTCGTTGTAGGCGACGGGAGCGCGCGAGCTAAGAAGAACTCCAAAATAACCAATGCGCTCTCACATCTTCGGCCTCATCCAGTACATCGCGACGGGGAGGAAGAGGAGAAGAAGGAGGAGGAGGAGGAGGTGGAGGAAGTTTAGGAATGGTAAAACGTCTTCATTTTTCGGGTTTTTTCACATACTTATGCAAATTTGGCCCGAAAATGCAAATAGCGTATTTTTTATAGCTTCCGGGTCTCTTCCGAAGGCAGAAAATGTGTATTTCCGTAGTTTTTTCTAAATGTGTGGTTCCCAAAGGGTGTTTGCTCGTACGCCCTATCCTAGTGTCTGTCTGTCTGGCTCTCTCTCCCACATTCTCCCGCTCTTTCTCTAGCTCTATCTCAGTCTCGCTCACTCGCTCTCACTGTCGCTCTCTCTCTCTATCTTTGTCTCACTCACTCGCTCGCTCTCTCTATCTATCGCTCTCTCTCGTCTCTTAAATTACAGGCACGTTTCCATTTTCACTTTATTCACGTGAAAAATATCCAGTCAGTGTTCTAGAAAAAGAGAACGGGGGCGCTAGCTGTTAGTTGTGACCTCGTGGAAATTATTACAATTTCACAAAAAATGAATGGTATATTAAGGCACCACTTATCGGAGAGGGAGGAGAGACAGAGAGAGGCTGATCATCGACAGAAAGGCATAAGGCAATATGTATGGTTAGACATTTGAATTTCGAGGAAGGCACTATTTTGACCAAAAAGATATAAAAAGTGAAAAAATGCGCATAAGTGGATAGGAGGGGGCGTTGGCAACACGGTTGAGTATTTTTAAATGGACTGAAAAGCCGGAGAGTTTTCAAAATCTAAAGAATCCATCGATAATCCATAAAAATCCTGACTTCCCGGTTCCTTTAACGATTTTTGAGGTGGGGCTAGCAAAAAATACCTCGGGGGCGAAGTGAGCAAATCTCAACAACAACGTCGAAAAATGGCAACCTTGTGCAAAATTAGATCTCAGGGAGGGGTCATGGAAATGCAGTGTCACTGAATACAAAAATGGGGGAAAATGTTAGAAAATGGGGAATTAGGTTAGCTTCGCCGCGTTTAGGCGCCGACGAACCGCGGCACGTACATCGTGAAGAAGAGGCCGGAGACGATTCCTAAAATTCGGGTTGAAAAAATGCTCCAAGTACCGGACAGCGTGCACTAAAAATCGCCTCTATCTTAACAAAGGATGGTTGAATCAAAATGATAGCAATACCTAGCCAGGAAATTTTGCAAATTTTCGAGGTTTTCTTGCTGGTTGAAGACGAGCTAAATTGTCTGACCTTGGGTACTAGACTTTTAGCGTGAGGAGGGGGCTTGGACCAGACCAAGACCAAATTGCTAGATAGGAAAACTCCAGATAACTCATGCCCTCCCCCTGCTAAAAGGTCAGTACCCCAATTTTTGCAAAGCGAAACGGCGGGGGTTCATATCATTTGAAGAACATAAAGTTGGGCAGAAATCCACGGTATAACTATCATTTTGAACCAACCCTCCTACGTTACGCAACAAAATACGTCCATAATAAGTCTAAAATCTCTCACCGAAAATCAAGAAGAAGGCGGCCATCATGCCGGCGATGCGGGCCCGGCTCGGGTCCACGACCCTCGGTGCGTACATCATGCCGAGCGACGAGAAGTAGCCAGAGGTGAACGACATCAGGATGGCGCCCACGATGTACGTGTAGTAGGACGGGAAGCTAAAAAAAACATAAAATATCACCCAAAATTTATAACTTACAAAACGGCGAGCGTGCGCTTCAGCGGGTAGTAGTTGCAGTACATGAAGAAGGGGATGAACAGCACGCGGGCCCACGTCATGATCCACAGGTACTCGTGCGATGGGAACTGGAAATTAAAATTGGATCTTTTGCAGTTTCGGGGGGGGGGCTTTTCGAGAGGACCCTTTACCTACTATAAATAGAACGTCTGTTTCCAGATTTTTTGCGACTTTTCGAAACGCAAAAAGATCAATTTTCTACGAAAATACAAAAATTCGATTTTCTGACTCGAATCTTAACCACAATTGAAAATTTTTACACATTTCGCAACGTTTTCAAGTAAAGTACAAACAGTAATTTTCCGAAAACTTCAAGCAGTTCATACCTGCACGTAGTTAGCTGTCAGACTGCCGAAGAAGGCAAAGATGTTGAAGAGCAGGAAGACGCAGAAGTTCATGTACTGGCTTTCTAAAGAAAGAAAAATAAGTCCGTTCTTGTATGTATTTATACCGGGCAGAATGAAGTCGTAGTGCAGCTCGGTGGTGCCGTTGGGGCCCGGGACGACGGTGTGCGGGTTGATGAAGACCATCATGTTCGGGAAGATCGTCAGCGTGACGAAGAAAACGAGGAACACGTTCATGAACTGGGGCCAGCCCTGAACATATAAAATTAGCATTTTTATAATCTTAATCAAATTTTAAAAATCAAGTAAAACAAGCTAGAATATACCTGCTTGAGCGTCTCCAAGTAGTCGTTGAAGCTGGCCGGGCCGCTGTCGTCCTTGGCGCGGTTGGCGTTGCCGAGCTCGTTGTGGTACTGGTAGTAGCGCTAAAAACGGGTTCTAAATGCAATTTCCATTTTCTTACCAGCGACTTGAGCTTGAAGAAGGAGAACAGGCAGCCGATGATGGTCAACAGCGAGACGGTGAAGTAGCCGAAGGCCTGGTAGGCCTTGTTGTCGGTGACTAAAGATAAAAACAGTTAAAAATTAATAAAATCTACGATTTTCAGGGCCAAAAAAGTTGATGCATTTTATAGCAAAAACAACTTTAGAAATCATAATATGCTATTTTTCGAAAGGCTAAAAAGCAGAAACTACTTTCACACCGAAAAACCAACCCAAAACAGCCAAAATCGCAAAAATAGCGACAAGGGTTCCGCACAAGTTGTTGCCAATCACGACGGCGTTGGTGTACTTGAAGGGGAAGTCAGACGCTAGCCCGTAGATCGAGTTCTGGTAGATGCCATTGGCGCCGTTCAGCACCGCGATCGAGATCATCGTCAGCCAGAAGAAGCCGGGGATCCCTGAATATAAAATTATCAATATTTCATTAAAAATTTCAATTTTCACATTGAAAACTACCTACACAGCTAGCATTATTTATAAAACAGTTTTATTATTATAAACTCACACGCCGCCGTATCGATGAAGACGAAGAGGTCAGTGAACGCGACGACGGCGCCGACGATTGTTAGTGAGATGGTGATTCTGGGGGTTAGTTCGCCTCTGAAAAAAGCTATTTGTATAGAAAATGTGTTTTGACACCTTTTGACGATTTCGAAACGCAAAAAGTTTGAAATTTATACAAAACCATAAAAAAATCGATTTTAGCAACAAAAATGCCACATTTTTCGACATTTCCTGAGTTTTAAGTTTCAAGAGCCTTTTAGAAGTTAAAAGAAAGGGTTTTTACAGCCGCTGAACGCAAAAATTTCCTACATAGAATCAAAAAATATCGATTTTTCGACCTCGATGCAATTCGAACACGATTCGCTATAACTTTTCAAATATTTGGGCGTTTCTATGTTTTCTAAAAAATTTCTACATTGCAAATACAGCTAAGTTGTACAAAAAACGCGACAAAATGTCTTTCTCCTTCATTTATAGCCTTTCCGAGTTTTCCGAGCCGATGATGCCAAACCTCCTGGTTCCAAAAACTCACTTGACGGGGACGAAGATGTTGATGAGGTTGAGGATGAGGTTAGGCAGCTGTGAGAAGATGCCGAGGAAGTACATGAAGTTCAGCGAGTACCAGTTCTTGCCGCCCTCGCCGATCATCTTGTAGTTGACAAAGTACTAAAATTGCACGGAAATTCGAGGGAACGGCAGCAATAGCATACCGAGTCGGCGATGGTGATGAACATGTTCCACGGCATGAGCGTGCCGATTCCATGGAAGAGCACGATCAGGTAGACGAGGTTGTTCTTGTCGACCGGGGCGCTCTCATGTTTCAGGAAGGGCTCCACTTCTCTGTCTGAAAAGCGAAATGTTATTTTCAATTTATAGGGGCGGTTTTGACTACTATATTCGCCAATTCCAGGCGCAGTTTTAACTTTATGAAACCGCCGGTTTCTAAACAACAAATCTTTCATTCTGGACGTTAAAATTCCCGCAATTCCTTTTTCTTTAAAAAAATGTTCTTTTTAAACTCTAGCGGTGGTTTTAACTATTAAAAACCTAACTTCCCATACCTTAAACTGGACCTCAAAAGTCCAGTAATATTGGTGCTGCCCTAGCCAAAATAAAAGTAATTTCAGAACGCCGCGACGACTGAACGATTTTGGAGAATTGTTGGGGCGTTGTGCGAGACCGCGCGATCGTGATAATTGATGGGATCGGGAGGATCTCCGATGAAAAAGGGGAGAGAGACTCGCGGAAGCCCTCATCCTTTTACGACCCTCAAAATGTTACGTCTAAAGTTGCGCCTCTCAAATAACAGCGTTTTGTAGGGTCTAGGGGTTTGCAAGCAAAATAAAGAGCAGCGCGATGTTACCAGGAATTAGTCGTTAGAAAAATCAGCGTTCTCGCGCCTAGGCCTTCTTTTAAAGGAAATAAAGAACAGTGCTATGGTTATAAGAACTACTCAAATTTCTGGCGTGAGGTCCTCTTTTAAAAGCAAGAAAAACTGACGTTTCTCATCCTCCTCCTCATTGCGTCTCGGCGAGGGAGACGGCGCCTCCGCGTCGGCCATGGTGTTAGCTGAAAAAAGGATCATATTAAATGGAAATAAGGCAAAAAATCATAGAAAATAGAAGAAAGCCTTTCTAAATATAGGATACCAGCGCCCAAAACCCGCTTCGCGGGCCTTGGGCGCTGGAATGCGGCCTTTGCATAAGAAATTTGACTTTCCGATAGCTCGGGTCCTTCGGACCCCCTCCCCCCGGCCCACCACACGCGCGCGTGCAACTTGCAAGAATGAAGAAATTTCTATTTTTTCACATTATGCAAATTACCCCCAAAAATGAGTAAAACCGGCTTTAACTTTGTAAACTTGTATTTTATCAAAATTCTGAAAGCGCCATTGGAAACAGAAGGGTCGATTTCCCCATGTGACGGAGAATTAGAGCATTTTATGCACGGGAAGGCCCTCAAATCGGGCCTCGAAAGTGACATCCACACACACACACACACAGTTACACGCCAAAATTATATAAGGTAGGAGGATCTGATACCAATAGAAAAAAAGGATGTGCGATTGAGCCCTGGTAGGACAGAATTATCGAAAGAATCCAACCGAAAGGCCGAAAATTGTCCGAAATTTCACAGAAAACCGCAAAGAGGTCATCAAAATGTAATTTTACTATCGAGATTTCTAGACTATAAAATAGGGATAGTGACCAGCACTAAAAACGAAACGATATTTTCAAATCTGAGACTTTGTGCTCGAAAACTAGCGATAAAGCGGCATGTCAATCCGCCACCGGTCGTAAACGTCAAGGAAAAGCCGAACGGTGGGCGGAATAAATCAATTCAGCCTGGGTTTATGAGTTTGTCACAGTCTCCAGAAACCGAAGCGGGAAATCATGAACAAAATCAAGTTTTCCTCTTCTCCGCATCGTCAAAATTCTTCTCACCAAGTAATGCAACCAAAGTTCACCTGAATCAGGGTGAGCAAAGCCGCTAAAACTCCAAATAGCTTATGATGTATCGTCAAGAAAAAGTGGGATCAAATGCCTGCTAAAAGGGGGGTCTATCAGCGAAAAATCTGGAAGATGGAAGCTGATGGCCGAGGGTGATATCAGATGGGCAGTGTAACAGAGGGCCTCTGGGATGGCTAGCAAAGAATTATCCAGAAAAATTGTACCGTTTGAGGATTTTATTGGCATCAGGAGTCCTAAATAACAGGAAAGAAAAACAGGAAAAGACAAGAAATTGTTCTGAAAATGAAGCGACCTAGTGGCCGAACGACTGCTATGTAGTTACGGTTAACACTAGTGGAAAATAGTCGTGTTTAGAGCTTATAAAGTATAGCGTGAAGGTTTATAGAAAACTGGGACCAGAATAAGATCGTGGGAGTGGGTTTTTGACCGTCGGGAGCCGGCAACATTGATAAGAGGGCAGAAGGAGGCCCCCGGCGATGGGTCAACGAGGTTTATGGCTGGGAGCAGAACAGAGGGCCGGCTATTTCGAGGTATCTGGGGTTTAATATGCTTTACAGATCCAAAACGGCTTAGCGTTAGCTTAGGTTTAGCTTAGTCATATCTTAGGCGTATGCTTAGCTTAGGTTAGCTTAGGCATCTACTTACTTAACTTAGGCTAGCTCAGGCTTAGAGTAGGCTTTGCTTAAGCTTGTTAGACGTAGACTTGGCTTTTCGTATGGGGGATTCAAAAGCTAGTGAGGGCCAGACTGACCGGTCCACCGGCCAGCCAACCCTTTTATACCGCACCACATTGCTAGCGGGGGCCGTGTCGTGGACATGGCCCCCGTCCAGCTCCTCCTCCTGCTCTGCCTAGACACTCCCACCAGATGCCCTTTTTCTAGCGCTTTCTGGCCCTCCGTCCGATGAGTCAATGGCGATTCCCACCGTCCCTGGATGGCTTTTTGACCAGGGGCAGACGGTAAAGTACATGTTTAGGGGTACCGAGGGTGGAGATTTGAATCTGGTAAACATTTTAGGGCACCAATTTGGGTGAATCATGGCCAGCTGCATCCGATAGACGCTATTTTGGCCTGGGCAGACGAAAAGTACAGATCTGGGGCACGATCTAGCGGGGAGTGGGGCTAAATTTACATATTTTGCGCCGCCAGATGTTGTGGTCTAAACGGAGATCGGGCAAATTTAGTGTAAACGACGGTGCTTTTAGGGCTAAACTGGGTGAATCATGGCCATCAGGATTCGACAGACGCGTTTTTTAGATCGCCGCGAAAATAGGACCTGTTCAGCAGCGGACACTTGGGCGTTTGCGAGTCTAAGTTAAAAAATAAAATGCATAAGGTGGGCGCGATAACGTGGAAATAAGGCAAATTGGTTTAGCCGGTGGAATTCGGTGGAAATCCATGTTTAGGGGTACAGAAGTAAAGCTATAAGATGGAATACTTAAAAATTCTTGACGTTCGACTCTGTGTACTAAGTTACACATCTGCTGTGTACCTCCTTCATTAGTGAAGGGGAGGTTGATGACCAAGGAACACATTCAAATGATGTACGAAAAGGGGGAGGGCTGATCTTTGAAGGGCAGAGCGCGTGACGATGCGCCGCCTCAGGCATTTTTGGCACCTTGCAGAATATCGAACGCTGTGCAAACATTTGTTGAACCTCGCTAGAGAACCCAAAAAAATCTATTTGTAAGATCTAGAGGATTATAACACCATTTCAAAGCCTTTAAAAGAAAAATGTCTTTGAAAAACCATTCCGAAACTTTTAAAAATGCTATTGCGTGCTTTTCTAAATCATAAAGGTTAAGGAAGATCTTCGCAACCTTGAAAAATCCATATAGGCGCAGCTGTGGTCCTAAATAGGGGGCGCCCTCCTCGAAAAGCCAGGAAAACAGCGTTGTTGACCAGGATTCCTGGCAAAATCCTAGGGCCTTTTCGGGCGGGGGGTTTTCGCGCGGCGCGCGTATAAACAGAAATTAATTGCTGGTTTCGTTGGGAAATAATTGGATCTTCGGGAATGGGAATAGTTCAACCCCAGATAAACTTTCTAAATAAATTCCTAACCGGGAAATCTTTACAAGGCAGTTATAAGCAGCTAAAAACAAATTAAATTTTCTTATTTTTAGCGCTTAATGAAAATCTGTAGAAGAAAATATCGTTTTTACGCTTCAGGAAAATAAAAAAACCAGCTCAAAACCTAAAACCTTCCGGTATGCAAACCCAAATATTAGCGTTTCCTTCCACAAACTTGACCGGCGAGTACATGGAGATAAGAAAGGTGTCTGGCCTATAGAAAGAAAGAAGAAAAGAAAGAGGCAACAGGGTCGATCTTTATCTCTCCACCTAACCCACACATGTCCTTCTCATTCCCCCCTCATTCCATCGGTCACCACCCCCAGAGATTTATTGCTGTTCTTCTACAGCCCTTTCATCCGCAAAAAGTAGTGGGGAGTACTCGAAAAAACCAAGATTCAAAAAATTATGGAGTTTTCTGCAGAAAAGAAGCATTTGTAGGTAAAGAATTAGCGGAAAGAGCCGAAAAACACGAGCGTAATTCGGAACGTAGCGGAAATACCTTAGTAAAAACCATCGATAATGAAGAGGCCATAAGGATACCTTACTAGAAAAGGATACTTTTAGAACGGTTTTTAAAATACGGTGTAAGTCTTTTTGAAAAGGGTTACTCGGTTACGCGACTTTCCAAAGCGCACGTTGAATTTCATAGCGTAATGGCAGATGGTATTTCAATTTTAAAACGGGAAAAGGACTTTTAAATCTGAAAGACACAGTAAACCTACAAACTAAAAATTTAACCGCTTACGCGACACGCGAAAACACGCCTGGAATTTCATGACGTAATGATAGTTCGGATAATTAAAAATGAAACTTTATACTGTTTTAAAATACTATATCCTAGCTGTAAAGCTGAAACAGAGCATAAGCGATTTTTCAAAGCATATTCCGCAGCACAACGCGCATTTCATGGCGTAATACTCGGTTTTCAAGCCGTACAGAAGGCATGAAAGGCAAAAATAGACAAAAAATCGGGTCAAAATCGATAGTAAACCAGGCTAGGAAAAAAGTCCCGGGGCCTAAAATTAAAAATGCGGGCCCTGGGCACCGTGTATAGGGGTGGGTCGGACTCAGCCGCGGGGAGGGTAAGTGCATTGGGGCCAGCCAGGCCCGATGCCAAGTCTGTGGAGAGAGCGCATAAATTGTAGAGATCCTAGATGGCCGAGAAAGAGGGTGGAAAGAGGAAAAAGGCGGAATGGGTCAGGC